AATGTCAAGCAAAGCAGTTATGATTGATTAAAGTAGTAAGTCGTCAGATTTCGACCCCGAAGTGACAACAGCGGGGTTAAAATCAGTGGTGTGTCCTCTGTCCTGAAAGACTCATAGGGAGTCTTTATGTCCAGTCTCCAGAGCCCCAGAACCCCGACCTGAGATCAGTATCAGGCATGAACCCAGTCTGAGCTCTGAGTTACGAGGCTTGTGTGGTTCTTCAATGCGTAGTGATGTGCCCCTGCTGGAGGTGACTCAGTTTGTGGATATCTTACTTTGATTCCTTTTATATAGCACTTAAGAAGCATAAGGTGCCATATACAGTATAGCATGTTTGAAATAAAATTCTTTAAGCAAGAGGACAAAACTATTCCTCTTTTTTTCTGTTTAATTGCTAATATAACACTTATGTATCAGCTTAACCTTTTGTTACATTCGATGTAATATGTATGCTAATATAGATAGATAGATAAATAGAATTGGAGGGATGAACCTTTTTGATAACACTGCGCACACACACGCACAAGTGGACATTGGATCGCATTTAGCCCACCTGTACCAGAGTCACTGCTCTAGCCAGGGTTGCCCAAGTGGGGGTATTTTTTTTTATTTTTTTAAAAATATCGTTGATATACGTTTGCTCTGGAGTTTTTCTTTGGACATCCGGGCGGGGTACGGCGAGCTGGGGTTCGTCAAACTTTTTCGTGCGGTTTTCTGAAATTTTTCATAGGCACGTCGCCGTCTCTGGCAGTTATTTGGTGCGGCGCGGCTGAAAGAGTTTGTGACCCCGCTCTTGACAGCAATGCACGCACCGGAACTATTGCATACTAGTTTAATACCTACACATTCCACCCGTATGCTGCAGGTTTTTTCGTGCCTGAATGTGTGATTGTAATTTACTGAGCAAAAAGGGATATGCGACAGGAACATAACAGAGTTTATCCATTTATTAAAAAACATTATTTATAAGCTGGTGGGCGAGCAGTGAGAGAGAGAGCAGGACTGCTGGCAGTGCAGTCTGACTGACAGTATTAAGCTGGCGGCTCTCGGTACCACAGCAAACAGACACGGCGACACAGGATGTGAGAGAGCGCGGCTGAGTGTAAAACACTGTGAGCTGCGTGAACTATGGCGTTATTTGGTGCCTATCCTGAGCACGCAGATGAAACATGTTGACATAGAAAGATGCTGTTCGAGCGCGCACTGAACACTTTTGAGCGCAGGAAATATTTTCTCTCATAAAACTCCTGCTCCGTGCGCAGGCAGACCGCTGCACGCGCTCTCTCTCCCCTCGCTTCCGCTTTCGACGTCTCCAGCCTCGTGCGCGCTCAACTTGCCTGCGCGTCGCTCAAATTGGACGCGGTGTCAGGACGAGATTCGCGGTTTCCCTTTTCCTCCTACGTCCCGCCACGGACGGTGTGTGTCAGCCAATTGTGATTTCCCTCGTAGCGTCGCATTATGTATACGCTAGCCTTTTGGGAAGAACAGAGGCCAGCCGTCAGCTTAGGCAACGCTCGAGATCGACGCTGATCGAGAGATACAAGAAGTTATTGAGGCACCTGCGAGAAAAGTATGTTGAGTGATGGAGAGAGAAAGGTTCTCAATTCAGAATCGTCTTGATGTGCCACAAACTACAGCATATGATGTTGTCATTAACAGTTAATTTTGCAGTAAAATAGGAGGATGGATAAAGAGTCGTGCGTAGCGCAGCTGAACACTGCTGTTTGTGGCACGAGGCGCGAGGCATTTTAATGGAGCTAGCAATCTCCCGTTCTCTGTCTATCTCCTTCATCAACACGTTCAAGACGCGGCCGTCTCATGCTTGGACAACTATTTTCTATTCTTCTCTCGAATGAGCGAAACGTATATAGAAGAGGTGAAAATCCTCCAAGGTCTGGGCATGTTGAGGAGCCTGACATGATTCTCATTGCTACCTGCATACGGGGATTAGTGCGGTCCAAAGGTAGAGCCACATGCGCCG